GCGTGGGCTCATGAACGGACACCTTTGGCTAATTTGATTGAAAGATAAGCCAGTGGCTCTTTCCATTGTGCAAGCAAGATTGGTTGGATTAGCCCACTTTTCCGTAGGTTATATATTCACTTACGCAGCTTTCTTGATTGCCTCCACATCAGGAAAATTTGGTTAATTTAGTGAATTCCCATGTCACAGTACACTCAATTAGTCGACACAAATATATTCCACAAAAAGTAACAAATTTATATATTTTTATAAAATTAATTCTCATTTTTAAGTTTAATAAGGTCATATCATTTTTAAAATATTATGATATTTAATTGACATTGATTTTATATATTTTCATCGCTATTTTAAATTTTTATCTTTAAAATTTTGGCTTAAAAAAGCTAAAATAAAAAAGCTTAAACTAACCCAAAACAATTCTTAAATATATCTAAGAATAATGTTTTATTGTATAATAAAATTTGTGATAGAAAATATACCATTACTTCATTTTTAATACGACCGGTAAAGTCGTTTAGCATAACCGTCGATTTAATTATTTTGTATGCCTTTTATCATTATTTTAATGAAACTTGCTTGTTAATTAAGCATTTTACACCATAAATAAAAAATAAATTACACGTATTTATAAAATAAATATTTAAATAACTTTAAATTTTTTTAAAAAAATATATTATATTCATTTCATTCTATATTTAAAAAATACTTATATTTTAAAAAATTTCAACGTATACTTCTCCCGTTAAAAAATCTTATCTGCCAGATAGACAAAGTGAGGCCCACACAATTAGAGATTGATAAGAGCTACAGATGCCTAACGGACATCGTACCACCTAATGGCATTAATAATAAATAGTCAAATAAGCTGAGAATCTAAATTGAGTGAAAACATTAACAAAATAGAGTGTAAAGTTTATAATTGATATATTATTCAAATTCCAATTTTAGCAAATTTATAGTCAAACTGAACGCCTTGAAAATAGGAATCCAACGACATCAAATTCGTCTCAATCCGAACCCAAATGGGCCCAAATCAAAACCTGAAGCTCAATTGAAAAGCTCAAACCATTTATTGGATGATCAAACGATTTCCAAACGTGCAATGCTTATAATCAAATCAAGCTCCTCGACGAGACGAATCCAACGACCCAAGATCTGCAAATTTTGATATCATTAAGACAATCAAATGCCTAGTAAACAATCACTAATCAAGTGGATCAATATCGATCATCCATTCAAATTACTTCCAACTTACAGTTGATCTCCCTCTTTTTTACTGGTCATGCAACTCAAAAAATTAGAAATAGACCTATCATTCATCTTAGAAGTTGAGGGAAGCAAAGAAGAGAAGTAAGAGAGAGAGAGAGAGATTAGATTTCTCTTGTCACGAGACTCCTCCTTGACCACTGTCGGACTTCCGCCCGACCACCGATTGACGTCGGACTTCCGCCAAGCCACTAACAAACGCCGGACTTCCGCCCGTCCAACAACTGACGTCAGAATTCCGCCCGACCACCGAACGTCGCTAAATTTCCATTCGATCTCCGTTCATCACTAGATTTCAACCCAACAGTTGACCATTATAATCTCATCATCCTAAATTTGAAGGACAAATTAATCACTTATAATATATTCAAACACTAGTGAAATCATTTCAACTAGGTATTGTAGAAACTAATACAGAGAAGAAGAAATGGAAAGATTTTATTATCCAGTGTCCGTTACAATGTACATGGATGAGTATTTATAGAGCAGTAATAGGATACAGAGAACATATTTACATAACAGCCATTTGGAGTAAATATAGAGAGATATGAGAATGAGCTAGGCTATTCTAACACCCCCCGTCAAATTGATGGGTATTGACAGACGGTCAATTTGTCCCTAAGAAAAACAAATCTTGGGGTAGATAAGGACTTAGTAAATATGTCGGCTACTTGGTCCGTGGTGCTAATTGGTAGAAGCCGAATGTTCATTTGAGATATGTGATCGCGTAGAAATTTTTGATCAATTTCCACATGTTTCATACGAGAGTGAAATATGGGATTGTTTGCCAGTGCTATAGCCAACATGTTGTCGCAATGTAGATCGGTAGGATAGTTTTGAGGCAGCCCGAGTTCCGAGAGCAGACGTCTTAGCCAGATGATGTCCGATGTCAAGGCAGCAAGTGCACGGTACTCGGACTCTGTAGAGGATCGTGAAACTGTACGCTGCTTTTTGACTGTCCATGAAACGAGAGTATCTCCTAAGAACGAACAGTAGCCTGAAGTAGATTTTCGGGTAATTGGATCGCCCGCCCAGTCGGCATCTGAAAATGATTTGAGGATCAAGTTAGATTTTGTTATAGGTAAACCATGGTGAAGCGTACCTTTGATATATCTAAGCAGTCGCTTGAGAAGGTAGAAGTGTGAGAGTTGCGGATCGTGCATGTATTGAGAAAGGAGATTAACACTGAACGAGATGTCCGGCCGAGTTAACGTAAGATATTGTAAAGAGCCAATGATTCGACGATAGAGAACCGGATCATGAATCTTTTCAGTTTTGAATTCCGCTGGCATCTTTGTGCACGTTGGATTTGCGAGTTGATTGCAGTTGGTCATATCTGCTTGACCGAGAATAGAATACGCATATTTCGCCTGTGATAGGAAATAAGAATTGTCAGTTTTGTGAATTTTTAAACCAAGAAACTCATTTACCGTGCCGAGATGCTTCATTGTGAATTCACTGTGAAGACGAGAGATGATATGCTGTATTTGAAGAGCATCTGATCCGATAATGAGTATGTCGTCCACGTAGATAAGCAGATAGATTTGGGTTATCTTGTTGCGGTAAATTAAGAGGGAAGGATCCGCCTTGCTGTGCGAGAAACCGAGGGTTATGAGAAACGAGGTGAATGTGTTGTACCACTGTCTTGGCTCCCGTTTCAATCCGTAGATTGCCTTATTCAGTTTACAGACATAGCTTGGATGGGAGCTATCTTCAAAACCTCTCGGCTGTGCCATGTAAACCGTCTCGGATAATGATCCATGGAGAAACGCATTTGCCACATCCAACTGCTGTACCGGCCAATCGTTGTTTAGTGCAACAGTAAGTAGAATACGGATCGTAGGAAGTTTAACCACTGGACTGAACGTTTCGGTGTAATCAATCCCGAATTCTTGATTGTTACCTTGAGCCACCAATCGCGCCTTGTACTTGGCGATGGAACCATCAGTATGATATTTGGTCCTGTATGTCCATTTGGAGCCAAGGATTGACGCGTTTTTAGGTGGTTCGATCAAATGCCATGTTCCTTGTTTTTGAAGTGCAAAAATTTCCTCAGCCATGGCTTGACGCCAGTGCAAACATTTTGATGCCTCTGAGTACGTTGTGGGATCAGTGGACTGAGTAGCTAGAGTATGAGCATGAAATAGATTGAGTTTGTTTGGATGTCTGAGAGAACCCGTTTGACTTCGGGTCACCATGGGATGTGATGATGCAGTATTAACGTTAGTTTGTTGAGCTGAGCGGGTCACTTCTGTTGCTGTTGTTTGAGGAATGCAAATTGGCGTAGGATAGTGAATAGGCAGAGGTTCTTGAGGAATGGCAGTGGCCTGCATATTCTGATTAGTACTAGGAGTATGACTAGTTGATGCAGGTATAAGAAGTAAGGGATTAGAAGCAGTTGATGAAGACGTTTTTGGCAAAGCAACTGAAGAAAAAGGAAAAATATTTTCATGAAACGTAACATGTCGAGATACAATTATTTTGTTTGTAGCAAGATTTAGACATCTATAACCTTTGTAGATGTCAAAATACCCAAGAAATACGCACGGTTGCGCGGTAGGCATGAGTTTATTCCTGGTAGAAGGAGGAGATAACGGATAACATTTGCACCCGAACACCTTGAGTTCCTCGTAGACCGGTTTTCTATGAAACAGTAGCTCGAACGGAGAACAGTTTTGGGTTGTATTGGATGGTAATCTATTGATGAGGTGAACAACAGTAGTTATAGCGTCAGGCCAAAACGAATGAGGCATGGATGCCGTAAGAAGCAGGGCCCTTGTTGTTTCAATAATATGGCGGTGCTTGCGCTCGGCTAGCCCGTTTTGTTCTGGAGTATAGGGACACGATAACTGATGCGTAATACCATGCTTAGTTAGAAAATTGTTAAAAACAAAATTGACAAATTCGGATCCGCCGTCCGTGCGGAGCGTTTTAATACGAAGTGATGTAAGATTTTCAACTTTATTTTTAAAGTTAACAAAGGTAGAGAAAACATCGGATTTAAAACATAACGGAAATATCCAAGTAAAGCGAGTATAGTCATCGACAAATACGACGTAAAATTTAAAACCTTGAGCAGATACAGTCGGAGCCGGGCCCCAAACATCACTATGAATTAAAGCAAGAGGCTGTGATTGCCTGTTAGACGAATTTGAGAAAGCGTTTTTATGACATTTCGTAGCCGAGCACAATTCACAGCGACTAAGTTGTTTATTCATGTGTAAAGAAGGATTACAGCTAGAAATAGAATCAAAGACAGTTTTATGGGGATGTCCTAAACGTTGATGCCAAAGCTGTGATGACTCCGAAACCGCAGCCAGCGCCTGAGGTGGGGCTGTAGCGTTCTTGATCGGAATGGCATATAGACCATCAGTGGACGTTCCGCGTAGAAGGATATCCTGAGTTGCTAGATCCTTCAAAACAAAACCATATGGATCAAAAGTAATAGAAATGTGGTTATCTTTAGTTAGCTGAGAGATAGATAAGAGATTATATTTGAGAGAGGGAGTATGAAAAATTTTTGTTAGTCGCAGCTTACGGGAGGGGGTAGGTAAGATACCCGCCCCTGAGTGAGCAATGCTGACAGAGTTGCCATCGCCTATGGTCACATTTTCGGACCCTCGGTAAGGCTGAGTTGTGGACATATTTTCTACTGAGTTAGTAAGATGAGCAGAAGCTCCTGAATCCAAGAACCAGTTGACATCAGGTGTGTCAAAGTGAACAACCCAAGGATGGTTTTGATTCTTTTTCTCTATGTAGTTGACTATATACTTTGAAGAATCAGTCGAGACAAAATCTATACTCATTTCTCCCACAGCCTTTATAAATTCTTCCTCAAAAATTGAATATATTCTTCTTGAGTAATATCTAGCAGCTTGTTTTAATATTGAGCTGTTCTTTATCACGGGAACAATTTCAGATTGACTGCATTTGTAATCCTCATCTTGCTCATTTCGCCGCCAATTCATCAGTACCTTTTCCAAGCCAAGAAAGCAATCAGTTAATGAACTTGTTGGCTTTGAAATGCCATGACACACATTATTAGTACACTCACTACGCTGCGTTGATAAAATGCCCATGCAAAAGGAATCCTTGTTGAAAGCAGTTGACCACTTTCTCCTTATCTTATAAAGATCCTGCAACCATTCATGATTATGAAGATTCCCTTCCTTGATCATTTCATTCCACGCTTCCTCAAACACTTCCTCAGAATCACACCACCTCATACACTTATGGAAGAGTCCTCTAACTTTATTATTGCTATTGTAGATGGAAACTTTTGATGGAACCTTTTTAAATATGTGCCATTGGCATAATCTATGACGAGTGTGAGGTAATGCAGCTTCTATGGCCCTGGCCATAGCTTGGTCCTGATCAGTGAATATTGTTGTTGGATATTTATTACCCATTATTCGTACAAATACTTTAAACAACCATGTAAAACTTTCAATTGTTTCTTCTGACAAAAAAGCAACCCCAAACAAAATATTCTGCCAATGATTGTTAACACCAACAAATGGCGCACAAACAAAATTATACTTGTTCAGCCTGTAACTAGTATCAAAAATTAACACATCTCCAAAACATTCATAATCTATCCTGCTTCTGCCATCAACCCAGAAAAAATTTAACAATCTATCCTGATCATCATATTGAACATCCCATGCAAACATGTGGTCCTCAACTTGTCGATCTTTAAATAATTGAATCAAAGAATTAGTGTCACCAATTTCAATCCTTGCTCTTTTCTCCTTCTGAATCAAATTGTAGGCGTCCCTCTTAGAGAATCCGACATTCTCACATCCACCAACTTCCTCTGCAAGGTAGGCATATGCATCAACGGTTCTAATCCCTGCATTTGTCATCGATTTTAGGACGGAAGCTTTTTCCTCAATAACATTCCTACATGATCTTAAAAGGTGTCGGTCGGCTGGGCTAGCTAATTCATGGTTGTGGGATTCAATAAATCTTTTGACATGCCAGTAACCGTCTTCATCAGTGACAAACCTCACCATGGCTGGACAACCAGTTCTGACAACTGGTCTAATGAATCTCTTCCTCTTCCCTGAATTATGATCGTCACTTTTTTTGAAACCAGCTTTTGAACAAACAAAGTCCTTCGATTTTATCTTCCTAGAATTTGGCCAAAAACTGTGATGATCCTTTCGGACACTAAAGCCATTATCGTGAGCATAAGTGCAAAAACATTCATATGCTTCTGTCTCATCTTTGTATACAGCCTGAAAGGGCAAGTATAGCGCAAGTAAAGGGCAAGTATAGCGCAAGTATAGCGCAACTATAGCGCAACTATAGCGCAACTATAGCGCATTCTTTTATTTATCATCTTCATCCTAGAAATCAATAATGAATGCTAAGCAACAACAACAACATTAGATTTTTTTATTTTTTACTTTTTCGACAAAAGAAATTTATTCTGCTTAAAAATCGCAAAATCAAAAATCTTAAGAATAATGAGCTGAAACCTACGTCAACTTTCTGCTTAAGAAATTTATTCTGCTCACAAACAACTTTCTAACTCGTTTTTCCAAGATACTTACCGATATGTTGAAACCAGAGGAATTTCCGGCTAAGTTAGGTTCCGATTCCGATTCATGCACATGTTCCGATTCCGATTCATGCACCAGCCCTTCCGATTCATGCATCCTTTCCGATTCATGCACTCCCTCTTCCACCTCCCTCTTCACTGAGCAGTCCATTTCTTCTCTGCAATTTTCTGGCTCGTTTTTTCTTCTACAGCAGCACATATTTGCGTCTTTCGCGGGTCTCAAAATGAAAAAATAGGGCGGCAAAAGCTTAAAAGTTCAAATGAATAGCGTTATCGGGTCGGGTCGCTAACTCTGACAAGACATAAAGCGTTAATATTAAATTAAAAAAACGACTGACAGATGGCGCATTTTTATTGGCGACCGAACGGAGAGATGGCTTCGGTCACCTGACCCAATAATTTGCCGAGAGGGAGAGAGAGACGGAGGCGGAGATGGAAGGAACTTTTTCGACTTTTCCGGCGAACTACGTGACCTTGAAGGATCTTCAAGAAAGATGGATCAAACGCAAGCAAGACGAAGAAAACGAAGAGAAGCTTCGCAGGCTCCGAGCTGAAGAAGAGACCAAAAAAGCTCACAAGGAAGCGGAAGCGAAGAATCATCAAGCCAAATCCGAAAACCGTACACGCTCCGCGAGAAAATCTTACTCTTCTCCCACCGCGCCAGCCTCCCATCCTCAAGGGCAAAAGAAACGCGCAGGCGGAGAATGGGAGCAGAGAAATCTGGCGAACAAAGGGAAGGCTAATGGCTTCAATGCAAACGAAGGGAAGGCGAAGAAGGCGAACGAATTCAATGCGAATGAAGGGAAGGCGGAGAAGGCGATCGACGCGAAATCTGAGACATCGATGGCGATCGACGGCCGGAGGAGGTCAAAGAAGCGACAATCCGCGAGATCTCGGATTCGAGCGAGCGAGTCCGACTCAATGGAGGAGATCGCGGGTAAGAGAAAAGAGAAGGAGCGGAGGGGGTTTCAGATTGCGCGGGAAGATCGTGCAGATGAGATTCACCGCACAGTGGCGGATCTTTGGATCTCCCATTCTCAAGGGCAAAAAAATGGCGCAGGCGGAGGATGGAAGCAGAGAAATCTGGCGAACGAAGGGAAGGCGAATGACTTCAATGCGAACGAAGGGAAGGCGAAGAAGGCTAATGAATTCAATGCGAATGAAGGGAAGGCGATCGACGCGAAATCTGAGACATCGCCGGCCATCGACGGCCGGAGGAGGTCAAAGAAGCGACAATCCGCGATATCTCGGATTCCAGCGAGAGTGTCCGATTCAATGGTGGAGATCGCGGGTAAGAGAAAAGAAAAGGAGCGAAACGGGTTTCAGATTGCGCGGGGAGATCGTACAGAGGAGATTCGCAGAAAAGTGGCGGATCTTTCGATCGCCAGCGGCGGTAATTGGCGAGGCGGAAGGATTTCATGGGGCGGAGATGACAGACGGCGGCGAGGCGGTGGTACGGCGAGGTATTCGGCCCCCGCTGCGGGTATGGTGTGGGTGAGGAAAACGACGGAGGGTTAACGTGCTCCTGAGGTGATTTATCAAATTCCAACTAAAAATTACAAGACTGCGTATTTGCCTTTGTAGGAATTCTATTTTCAATGGATCTGCAATGATTTTTTTTTTTTTTAATATTTAGCAAACGATTTATGATTTTAAATTTAAATGTTAAAAACTAAATTTTTTCAAAAAAAAAAACCAACTAGAAAATGATCAGGTGGTCGTTCACTATTCGGCCCATTTTCCAACTATTAGGCCCATAATTCGCCCCTATACGGAAAATTTTTAAGTTCGATGTCCGGACGAATCCAGACATCAATCCAGACGCGCCACGTAACCTAGATAACCCGGAGCTTAGTGTTATCCGGTGATGTGGCAAGTCTGGATTGGTGTCCGGACGGTACGGTCAATGAAAGTAATAATTCGCCCCTATATGGAAATTTATTACATTCGCTGTCCGGATTCGTTTGGACACCAATCCAGACTCGCCACGTCACCAAAATAACACGGGGCCTAGTCTATTCCGGTGATGTGGCGCGTCTGGATTGGTATCCGGACAGTCTGGTCACCAGACGTAATTATTCGCCTCTATATGAAAAATTATTATGTCTGGTGTCCGGATTCGTCCGGGCACCAATCCAGACATGCCACGTCACCCAGATAACTCGGGGTCTAATGTATTCTGGTGATGTGGCGCATCTGAATTGGTGTCCGGACGGTCCGATCACCGGACTTAATAATTCGCCCACTTATATGGGCTGCTCGGTCATATAACAAATAAATGGAGACTGAAATGAAAATTTTTAATTTCTTGATCAACAAAGCCTTCGTAAGCCCTGAAAGCAATGTGATGGGGCATTAGGCTTAGGTTTTGTTTATGATAGTTTTTTTTTTACTTTAAAATATTTTTTTTATTAAAAAAAATTAATTAGATTTGATCTAAAATTTCAAAATTTTGAGTAGATAACCCAATTTTATTAGATCTTATATATTCATATTTTTATAACTTCATCAATGTTTACAATATACTTACAAAGCAATTCAATCTCAATACTTTGAAAAAAAAAAAAAAACATTTCAATCTCAAAACTAAGGGTCTTTATTAGACGTTGCAATCGTTCCAAACAAGCCTTACGTTTAAGGTTTTACTATCAGATGGTTTCACTTGATTTGTTTTAAATTTAAATACATTTTTATTAGTTCAAAATTTTTACGCTATCTAAATAAATCTACTCGATAAAAAAAATCATTTAAGTTCATCTTTTATGTTATTTGGTTAGCTGAAAAATAGGGTGGTTAGTGATTGCAGGTTGTGATGGTCGATGATCTGTAGCGTTGGTAGTGATCAGTGATAGTGACTGGTGGCGAAAGACTAGCAATGAAGTTCCAGTGTGTTTAAAAATTGCTCAAATAGATGTAATTCCAAATACGCCAAAATGAACAAGAGAGTGAATTCCAAATATACCATAACTTTACGGTGCATTTGATTCATTTCAAACCAAGCACCAGCATTCTCCAAATCCCCGCATTTGAAATACTTTGCACCCTTTTTACTTCAAACAAAATAGATATGATTTGTATTTTTTTGGGGATGCAGGTAAAATTACATGACGAAACAAACAAGAATAACAAAAATTGCACACTGCACCCTAAACCCAAGCAGGGGGAGGACCCTCTGCACCCCCCGAGCAAGCATAATAAATTGAACTAAGATCTGAGATAATCATACCGCCCGATTGGTCAATATAATTAGATTCCACACAAACTAACATATTTATATGTATTAAAAATAATAATTATCATTTTTATTTTTAATAATGTTTTATAAAATTTTAAATATTATAATATTTAATTGACATTAATTTTATATATTTTTATTTTATTTTGAAATAACAAATTACAATATGTATTAAAAGTTTGTTTGGATCGTGGTTCAAAAAGCAGTTAGTAAGAAAATTTTCATCGCTATTTAAAATTTTTATCCTTAAAATTTTACTTTTTGAAAAGCATCTTTAAAAATTAAAATTGTGACTTATAAAAAATCTAAAAAAACTTAAAATTAAAAAAAGCTTAAACTACCCCCAAACAATGCCTAAATATATCTCAAAACAATGTTTTATTGTAATATAAAAATTGGGATAGAAAATATACCATAACTTAATTTTTAATATGACCGGTAAAGTCGTTTAGCATAACCGTTGATTTAATTATTTATTATGATTCTTATCATTATTTTAATGAAGCTTGCGTGTTAGTTAAGCATTCATCATAAATAAAAAAATATATTTCACATATTTATTAAATAAATATTTTAAAAACTTTGAGTTTATTCTATATTTAAAAAATATTTAAATTTTAAAAAATTCCAACGTATAATTCTCCCGTTAAAAAATCTTATCTGCCACAAAGACAAAGTGAGGCCCACACAATAAGAGATTGATAAGAACTACAGATGCCTAACGAACATCGTTCCACCTAATGGCATTAATATTTAATCATAAATAGTCAAATAATAATTTAGTGTCGGATAAAGCTGTGAATCTAAATTAAGTGAAAATAGAACATCAACAAAATAGAGTGCAAGGTTTTATAATTGATATATCATAAAAAAAATTATCTTCATTGAGAACGAATTTCAAAGCAAACTCAAGTTAGAAAATTTCAAAATTAAATCTGGAACTATTCAGAATCCGATTTCAGCAAACTTATAGTTGAACTGAACGTCTTGAAATTATGAACCCAACGACACCAAATTCGACTCAATCCGAACCCAAATGGTCCAAATCGAAGACCTAAAGCTCAATTGGAAAGCTCAAAACATATATTGGATGATCAAATGATTTCCAAATGTGACATGCTTATAGTCAAGTCAAGCGGCTCGAAAAGGCGATTCCAACGAGCCCACGATCTGCAAATTATGATATCATTAAGATATTCAAATGCCTAGTAAACAATCACTAATCAAGGGGATCAATATCGATCGTCCATTCAAATTACTCCAACTTACCCTTGATCTTCCTCTTATTTATTTGTCATGGAACTTTAAAAAAATTATAAATAGACCCATCATTCCTCTTGAAATGTGAGGGACGCAAAGAAGGGAAGTAAGAGAGAGAGTGACATTAGATTTTCCTTGCCACTAGACTCCTCGACCACTGTCAGACTTCTGTCCGACCACCGATTGACACCGGACTTCTGCCCATCCACCAACAGACGACAAACTTTCGCCCGTCCAACAACTAACGTCGGACTTCCGCCCGACCACAAAATGTCGCTGATTTCCATCCGAACTCCGTTCGTCACTATATTTCAACCTAGCAGTTGACCATTGTTATCTCATCATCCTAAATTTCAAGGACAAATTAATCACTTGTAATCTATTCAAACACTAGTGAAATCATATCAACTAAACGTGATTTTTTTCCCTTTTCCAAGTTCTTTCACGGAAAATTTCTTGTGTTTTTGAATTCCTTGTTTATATGCTGAATATCTGTTGGATCGATGGATTAAATTTGGACAATGTGATACTATGAGGCTAAATTGAACATACACGGATAATCTGAGAACTATTTTGAAATTTTTCTAATATTTTAAATATATATTCAATATTAAAAATTTAACTCATGATCTAATAAATCAAGATAATTACCTCAAATTTAACTCATTAGTACATCAAATTCAATTCATTCTCCATTAATCCAACCGAATTAGACGACTCCATTACAGCACAACAGAGTAAGTCTGTTAAGATGGCAGATCACCATTAAATTCCAACATTAAATTCTTCAGAACTAAAACCCTTCCAACTTCCACCAGATCAAACCACAACACTGTGTATTTTATTACAGGTCAATTTCTATTTCCATTGAGCTTATTATTCATATTTTATCAATTTTAACGTGACCAACACGCAAATGTCTATCTCGGGTCAGTCGACGTAGCAATATATACAGAAACATCACAGTACTAAGGAAATTTGTGAGCAGAGAGAGCTCATTCTTCGGTCCAGGTGCAGCTCATTTCCTGCTCGCCTGATCAAATGTCAGATCTATCTGTCAGCACAAAGTAGACCTATGATTTCAAAAATCAACCCGCTAGAAATTATTATGTGCGGAGATTGAACGCAGAATATCATTAAGAGACCGATCAAAATGCGTCACATCAGTAGTACCAATCAGTATGGAGTTGTGACGCATTTTGGTTATTCTCCAGACGACGTTCTGCGCAGGAGCGACGTCCGGACAAAATAATTAATCGATCTCCAGCCAAACACCAAATAATCATTTGCAATCACCATAAGCTCCAACCGAACAATAGATTCGTCTAGAGTTTGGTTGGAAAAAAGAATATACCCGGATATTCTTTTTTGATGTTATGAAATGGATATTGATTGGAGATGAGTTATTGTATATTGGAGTGAAAACTAAGTATTTCAATTGTAGATGAGGTGAAAGTGAGCTTTGCCTGTTCGAACTCTGCTTATTAACGAGCTAATGAGTCAAACTTTATCAAGCAACAAGTCTCTTCCTTTCTCAACTTTCAAAGCTCTTTCATGTAGAGAATGAGCTCTATTTATAGTCGCTTTAAGATGAACTTTTTTGATAAATTTGACTGGAATCCAAATCATTGATTTATATTATTTGATTAGAATAAAGTGTCGTAACAATGTCATAATTGAATAATATTGGGCTTGTTGGACTTTCTCATCAAACCACTTGATTCAACTATCAGCATGCTAAATTCCGAGATTATATGATCATTCAATTAATATCTGAAAATTCCAATTATGCATCATATGCTTGATTTTGTCTCAATTAGACTCGGATTGGGCCACTTTTGATATCATTAGATTTGTCATATTGAGACGTTTAATTTTACTATAACTTAGATAGAATCGGAGTTCAAATGATATTCAATTTAATTTTTGAAATTTTAATTTAGAAATTCATATCAATCATGTAAGTTTTTTATAAACATATCATTAATCCTTATTATATTATCTGGTTAAGCCCCAATTCAATCAGAATGAGCCTTTGAACTTCAAGTTTTTCCTTCCTTCACAAATCACAATGAACAAAATACAAGGCCAGAAGGCCTCACATATATCCTTAAAACTTTTCTAAAAGAAACATAAAGAAACTATTATATTTAATCGAGGCAGACAACTGAAGAAGGAAATTTCCAGTTTTTCTACTGCTAGAAGTCTAGAATCTTTACTATTTGCAGCTTTATTTAGCAAAATTTCCGGTGATTTAACTCCCCACGACCTCATCAATGCTCTGCAAAGCCGGTCTCCATTGCCGCAACCGCGGCGGTGGCGCCGCCGCTTCACCGACCCTTTTGCCGTCGGCAGCCGCATCCTGAACCAATACAGCTAAGTGAGCACATCATACATTAACTGGCGTGATCTGAAAATAAGGAATTTAGAGACATAACATAAAAAATTTTATAGCTATCGGCTTAGAAAATTTAACAAAATTTCATTCGAAGCTTCAAAATTTTAGCATTCTGAAGCTGAAAATTTATCTTTCAGGATTGATTTTGTTATGAATGAAATAAAAAACTTGATTAACTAGACAGATTTCATACAAATTTTATATTAATTTTGACATAAATGAAATAATAAGTTTAACTGATTAGACAGATTTTGATATTTTATTTATTTGAAAAGTAATCAAAGATTACAGAATCCATACTGAACAAAAAGATTGGGAATGTCCTAATTTTCAATAAATTGAGTTCGAAGAAAATTTGAAGAAAAGGATTGTGTTCTACTGTTCTGAATCTTTTGAAATTTAGAATCCCATCAATTCTGTAATCCTCTTTATTTTAAAATTTTTAATATATTTTTATAATATTTTATAAGAAAAACAATATCAAATGATCCTGCAAACTACCAAGCTTTTAGACAATAAAATTCTGGAAACAACAAAAGCTGAAACTGAAACCGATTTTCAAAACCAATACGATCGGAAATTATACAATGATAAAAACAAAACCGCAACACCGAAACTAAAATCCACGGTTAAATTAGAAGCCGGCGAGAAATTTCGAACCATACCCTAGTCTGCATCAAGGTCTCGCCGGTGCCTGCCGGCGTATCTCCTTCGCCTCTCATCGACCGGCTCCGCCTCTTCTCCTTGGCGGCATTTACCAATTTGCTAAGCCTTACGTGCTTCTTCGATACGAATTCCCTCAAAACTTCTAAATCCAGTCATAGCCAACATACATTAGAATTTGCGGGAAATCAGAAAGCGCGAAGAGATGAGTACCTTCGAAACTAACGAGTCGATAAACATGTCCGATGTGAAGAGTGTCGTCGGGTCGGAGGAGTTTGAGGTGCTTCACCGGAGCAGCGGCGCCGGATAGATTTGGACCCGGGAGCTGCGAGGTGATGATGACGGCGACGTAGTGGCCGGGGTTGGAGGCCATGACCTTGCTAGCGCTAAGGGACCAGTAGATCCTCTCGATCCTGCCTCCTGGGTGCTGGATCAGAACCGTCGCCGCCTCCGCCGCCTGGCAGTTCCCCATCGCCGATTCGCGGTCGGGCAGAGTGTAGAGCTGAAGGAATGGATGGAGAAGAGATGCAGAGAATGGAAGCTGGAGAGAGAAGATGGAGGCTTTAGGAAGAAGAGAGGAGTGACGAGCTGTCGCAGATTGGGTGGGTTAGGGCCGTAGGGGTAGGATTTGTTTATAAGGAAAATCTTCTGTTTTTTTTAAAGGTGCATTTGTACGTTTTTTAAAAATTAATATATTATCATAATTAGAAATAAAAATTTATATATTCACCCAATATAAAATAACTTATTCCACATAAATTAATTAATCATCATATAACCAATAAAATAAAATAAAATAAACGTAATATAAAATGAAATTTGTATATTTTATTTGATGCAAAATAAATACAATTGGTACTGTCAATAAATAATATTTTTTAAAGGAAATTTTTGGAGCGAAATGATCAATCTATTGATAAAGATAAATTACAAGTAAAATCTGCTAAAAAAGAACAGTAAAAAATGAAAGCCAACAACAGAAAAAACGTTGGTAAACAAGAGAAAAAACTATCTAACTGCCAAATGGCAGAGATGAGAAAGTAAAATTCAAAATTTCGACTCCTGCAACAGGCCAGATCGACGACATCAGAAAATTAGTAAAGACAGCCCGAAAAATAGAGACCGCTTTGGTTGCCAAAAGGCCAAAAGCAACCAACCCGAGAATTTAGAAAGGTACAGTGGCCATCACAGAGCCCCAACAACGCAAAATAAAGACCATTCTGAAAAAATTGATGATTGCCACGAGGACCATCCACCAAAAGAATGGAACGGTCGGCCATGCTCATCATCGTCGGATTAAACCGCCCAAAAAACTACTCCAGCGTCCAATCAGAAAATACCTGAAAATAAAGGATTGCTGAAACGTTGAACAATCGAGTCATAAGCTTTCCAGGTCTTGACTTTGCAGCGAATAACACAATTAATAGCATGTCTAATAGAGTTTGGATTTGCAAAATTTTAGATAAATAACGATTGTTTTCTCGCTCCAGAGAAGATAAATAATGCAGTTGACCGTAAAGAAACATAATTTTTTCCCCCAACATTGAACTGCTTATAGTTATCAATAAATTCAAAGACCTGAGCCAGGTTGGGTCTTAGGTAAAATTGACTAAGCATAGGAAGAGTTTCCAAGAGAACTGTATGTGAAAAACCACGTTCAAAGAACAAATTGTTATGACATTCAGGGGAACAAGTCGAGTTAACTATGAATTCCCTTTTTTATAAGTAAATCAACCGTTTTTAATTTACCAATAATCACCATCCAACTCAATAAATAATATGATTTAATTTTATTCCTAAAAATAAATATGTCGGATTTGAATAATATTTTTCGAATCGTTTATTAAATATATTGAATTTGAGTTGACTTGCAAACTCATTTTTATTAAAAGTAATTTTTTAATATCTTTATTTATTAATTTTTATTTTTTTAACTTATGTGTATAATTATTTTATTTTTTATCAAATATATTAAATTTTATAATTAATTAGTTATAAATAATTATTTAATTCGTCCAATCTGAGGCTTTATCCCATTAAAAGCCAAATTACAGCAAAACCTGAGGAGAAATAAGTACATGAAGAAGACATTTTTGGTACATTGCAGTAGGAAGGTCATAGCACTTTTGGCGCATGTGAGATACACGTGGCTGGTTTTCTCTGACTCGTTTAGTTACTCAATTATGCTAGAGCTCAAATAGTATTTGAGCTCGAGTATTGCTTGAGTTCTAATTTGTGGCTCAATAAGTTTGACTTATGAACTCATTTACGAGTCGAGTTTGAGTGGCTTGCGAGCAAGTTTGGTTCACTTACATCTTAGCTTGACACGAATGACCTTAATTCTATATTAAATTGGAGAAAAATATGTTGATTATATGAAAAAAAAAGTAAGACATGCTAATTAATGGATTTAAAAGCTATTAAATTTATTTTGAGATAAATACGCATATGAAAAATCAATCAAATTTTATTTTGCAGACATTTGAAAGTAAATCCAATAGCACGAAGATTTAGGCTTCGTTTGAGACAGCTTTCTTACTGCTTCATAAAGCATTTTTTAGTACAAATTTTTAATTTTTATACTAAAAAGCTGCTTTAAAAAGTAGGAAGAAATCCCTCCCAAACAAAGCCTTAGGCTTCGTTTAGAATGGCTTTCTTACTGCTTCTTAAAATAGCTTTTTAGTAGAAAAAAATTATTTTATTGTATTAAAAATCTACTTTAAGAAGCAGTAAGAACTCCAAACGAAGCCTTATTCTAATTTTATTTAGATATACTCAACTAATTTATACTTTTTACCGAACATGTGATACATATTTTGTGCGGGACTTATTTCTCGTTTCTTTGCTTTCAAACGATAATTGCAATTTTATTTGGCTATTGCTTTCTTGTTGCTTTCTTATTTTTTTAAAAAATTCATATAGTGGAAACCTATTTTTTGCTATCAGAATAGCTAAGCTGTTTTACTCGCAACAACTTCATAATCAACTTTACAAAACAATATAGTTTTCTCAAACAGACCCCTTAGTCGAATATTTTTTAGATGAGTAACAATTAATTTGCCAAAAATAAAACAAAGAATTGCCAAAGGAATTAATGTAATTAGTGGGCTATAAAGCCTCTACAAACATTAGCAATGCTTAATAATGTAACTAAAATAGAAAGATATTAACATACAATTAATGCTAAATAAATGAATGCAATATGGGTGATTAAAGAGCAAAAAATATTAATTAACCTTTTAAAACAATTAATTTATATTAAATAAACCAATGCCATTTTAAAATATTTTTATATAACAAAAAAATCTAAAAGATTCGCACTAACATTATAAGATACCATTTAGTGACCATGTTGCAAAAATTTTACCTAACGACTCTTTTTATGCACTGAAAAGTTTTTTTTTTTTTTTCCATGGCTTAGCTACAATGAATAAATCAACAGTTGCTTAGAGTGTCGATGAATGTCTCAACCCGTCTTCATGATCCAACAAAAGGTAGGTTTGGGTTGACCCATTTATTAAATGGGTCAATTTTGAGTTGGATTTTTCGACTCATTTATTAAACCGGCCAAAATCATATTAACTTGTGAACACGCTTTTGATCCAAAGAACGACTCATTTAAAATATATTTTTCTTAAATATCTTATTTGTGGATATAGGGTCAACCCGTTTTCCACCCGGGTCAGTTCGGGTTCGACCCGAACCCGACCCGTGACCCGAAATTGACACCCCTCAATGGATATAATCTTCTTATTTATGATCAAATATTTTAAACTTTATAGTCAATAAGTTATATATTTTCTAAATAAAATGAGTTATATGTTAAATTTGGGTGATTCAGGTCGTTTGCGAGTTAGGTTCATACTGATCTTTTTGACTTATTTATTAATCAGTTCGAGTTCAAGTTGATTGAATTTGGATTGGGTCTAAACCCGACCCATTAGCGTGTTTTGACACCTCTATCATGCCTCCTCCATATTTAGGTTCATACTTAGATTGTGCTTTAAATTTGATGAAAAATTTTAGTAAATAAGTTTTAAATATTAATTTAAAATTTATTTCATATTTAAAAGGAGCTAAATTTTATATTATTATTATTATTAATATCATTATTATTATCGTAGACGTAGCCTATCTTGCAAAGCAAAGATTCATGTATTTAAAAGGCTTTCAGTTGGCTAGCTGGTGCTTCCCTTTATTTTTGGGTCACAGAAGAAGCTTTTATTTATTATTATTTTTTTTGGATCATTTGAATAATCTAAAGTCAAATTTATTCACACATCATATACATAAACTTTGAACCCTTAACCTCTTGCATTGGCGGAATCATATAATATTTAGCGGGGGGCTCAAAAAATTCTGAATTAAAGGAGTTGGCACTCTTTTTTTTTAATATATAAAAAAATTATGTATTAATATATCTAATACTTAAAATATTATATTTACATACATAATATTCAATTATTTAAAAACATGAAAATATCATTAATTTTAATTTATTTAAAATAAAAAGTATATTTTCATACATATATTCTTGACGTGATTCAAATTTCAAACTTGTATATAATTAACTATAAAAATGATATTATAATATAAAAGTTTATATTGAATTGAAGTTTTCTTGGGGAGTGAGGTTTTATAGGAAGCTACTTTCTATAGTAGCTTTTAAAAAAGTTATTTTTTTATACAATTAACTCAAATGGAATTGAAAAGAGTGAGCCGCTAAGAATTTGTTTAGGACAATTTTCTTAGAACTTTGCTTTTTAGATCTCAACTATAATTTCTTTTCATCTACTTTTTTCTCACCCCTTCTAAAAAATTTTAATGTTAGAAAGATGTATTTTATAGCAACTTTCAAAAAAGTTATTTTTAGTGCAACAAATTTCCCATCACTTCTGGAAAAAGCCTCAGCAATCCAAACAGATCCTAACATACCCTAAGTCGGATTACATTGGTGTGTTGAGTTTCTTTTTATGGAGAGATTATTATGTGCGGACTCCGAATGCAGAGCTCTACATCCGAATATCAATCAGAATGAGTCACGTTAGCGATATCGTGCAATACTGAGCCCCGGTACTGCGATACCGAGCGGTACCGAGCCGCGGGCTTAGTTGTCCGGACAAGGTTTGGCTTCGGCACGGAATAATTTTTCCTTCTTATGACCGTTATCAGGGAAAAATTATTAGGTGCGGAGTGCAGACGGGGAGAGCACCGTCTGCACACACACAGGGTACCAAGCGGTACCTAGTGGTACCCAGCGGTACCGAATGGTACATAGCTGGATTTTATATTAGTGTGCGGACGGTTCTCCCTATCTGCATGATGACCGTTATCAGGAGGCATGGCAGAGAGCTATTCTAATATGGAATTTATCTCTGATACGATAATTTTTGGATGCAAGAAATGGGTACATGGCACCTCCAGTAGGCTAGATTGGCAACGGCGATTGTTGCCATTCCAGAGCTGAAGGGAGAAATCTTCGGAAACTCAAGGAGATTTTCGATTGGGATGATGATAGGAGGATTCAGAGTAGGAGTACTTGCAATGCTCATCATCTTGGAAGGTTCCAGGAAACCAAACCAGCTCAAGAGAGATGAAGATTGCAGTCTCCTCTTGATTCATTCTTCTAAGGATTTTCAAGCTGCATTATTAATCTGATCCCTGTCTGCATGGCAGAGAGATGGCAATTCTTTAGAGTGCAGAAAATTTAGATCTGGTGATCTGATATTATATCATATTTACTGTAAGGTTTGTGTTAGACTGGTCCAGCAGGTTGATATCGGACCGGCTTACGAACTACAGAGGCAGAGTTCTCTACCTACTATAGGCATGCCGATCAAACCGCAAATTCAAAAAGAGCAATTTTGAAAGAATTTTTGATGAATTTAAGAGGGAAATTGAATATAGGGATTATTTAGAGATTTCCTTTTGAATTGTACGCATTAAATATTTTGTTTTCCTAAGATTATGACATCTAGAATTTGGCTGAAATTTGACATCTCTGAAATTCTTGGGCACTAGCGGCATCTAGAGATTTGGAAGAGATATATCCTCTTGTCGAATAGAAGATCAATTATATATTGCTATTTTCCATTTATATTTCATCAAATAATACAAATTACCTACTATTTTCCTGATTTTGTGCAGATTTTTGCAGAGATTTCTCGCTGTTTTTCAAAGATTTTTAGTAAATTTTTGAGATCTTCGAGTGTTTCCTATCAGTTTGTATGCAGCACTAATATCAAAACGATCTGAATGATTCTCAAATATTTTAATATAATTTGCATCAAAATATTCTAATATATGATGATTTGACCGTTGTAGTTCATAAACTCCTCAAATATGATGATTTTAAAAATACTATAGAAACTTTCCCTTTAAAAATAATATAGAAACAAGTGTAGAGCATCAAAGCTTGTATTTCTACTGAGGAGATAAACCTCAGCAGACAAATACAAAGAAACATGACCAGCAACCACCTAAAATTTACAAGTAAGAAGACCAGCAGAAGGAATATTTACCATAACACCTAAAACCCAGAAAGCAAATGCGACTGTGTGAGATGAATGGAAGTTTCTTCAGGACTTAGAAAAATGTTTGTTTTCATTGCTTGCTGATTCAGATTTAGCATTGCAGCCATTGCCAAACTAGACTGAAGGGAAGAACTTGTCCAGGTTGAAAGGAAGGGAATAAAACTCTTCACTTCTGGTATCTGTTTTGAAAGATCTGAACTTCTCCCACCATTGCCAACCTCGATCTGTTCGGGTCTCGGCATCAGTCCGCAAGAGCGTGCTGTCCAGGAAATAAGCTACCATAGCTGCCACTGTTGCTGGTGAAGAAAATATCACATCTACTATATCATTGAACTGCAAGGACACAGATGAAAGATTTACAATTCAAGCAGAAGCATTCATTAAGGTTTCCTTTGGGGGTTTTCTTGCTGTTTCTTAAAGTAACTTTCTAGTACAAAAATTTGTACTCTAAAGCTGCTTTAAGAAGCAGCAAGAAAGCCGTCCCAAATGAAGCCTAAGTTACTGGTTTGCTATTACTGTGGCTAAAGCATTCATATTTACAAGAGATATCTGTATCTAAGAAAGAAAAGTTAAAAATGAAAACATACTGCTCTTGCTCGAGTATGGACGGGGCCATATCCAGACACTGCATGAAATTCCTTGAAATATTCTGGTATCGATAAGCCAAAAAACAAAGAAAAGCCCAGCACGAACAAAGTTCTCAAACTGTTTAGATTACAGAACTGAAGGAAGCCAAGTCCAGCAGCAGCTGTAGATCATGGGAAGCCATTTATCAGTCCTCAAGAACTTCTATCATTGGATTGAGAGAACTCATAAAAGTTGACGTGATAATTTAAATAAACTTCTTGATTTTTTTTGTTCTTAGATGGTTGTGAAGTATTAATTAATAAATCAGATCATGCACAGGAAAAGGATCTAAGAATGTGATTTCAGGGGACAGATGTCAGAAAAAATATGCATGCAAACATTATTTGTGGAACATTTTCAGATGAAATTACGCTACAGCATAGTTAGTGCTGTAATTAGAAGGTCTTAACAAGAAGAAGGTGGCATGAAACACTTGAAGATCTCTCAAGTGAAACTTAACGATCTTGACAAAATCAGTGAGAATACTCAACAAGTAAAGGAAAAATCAAAGAAAAACAGCCCATTTAACTGAGAAAAATCAACTAACGGAAGAAAAACAAACAAGATATAAGTGATTCTCAATTCGAGAGGATTGATCTCTCCCGATTCTCTAGACGCCGCTAGAGCCCAAAGGAAACCTAAACCTAAGAAAACTCAAATTTCAACCAAATTCCATATGCCCTAGCCCTAGGAAAATCAAATATTTAATGCATACAATTCAGAAAAAAATCTCTAAACAGTCCCTACATTCAAATTTCCCTCCTAAGTCCCTCAAAAATCCTTCCAAAACGGCTCCGTCAAACATGGGTGGTCGGCTCCTGCGTACAGGAGGCGGAAAACCTCCGCCTGTTTTGCCCGTAAGCCGGTCCCATATGGACCCGCTAGAGTGGACCGGTCTAACAGAAGATTAGTAATTTTTGGAGAAGTCTGCTCTGCAACCTCAATTCTGAATTACTAACCTAGCTTTAGAGGGAGAAACTGTCATCTAAAATAATAATAATAACCAAGGAAATGCTAGTTCAGGGATAAAATTCAACAAAGAGCCATGAAACTATTAAAGACATGATATCACAAAGTTGCCATACCTACGTAACCAAAGAGGACACAGTTCAGTGCAGCAGCAAGTGGCAGCGGAATTGAAGCAATCAATGACCCAAACTTTCCTGGTTGATGTTTGAAAATTATAACAATATATATATATATATATATATATATATATATATATATGGGTATGTTTGCTTCACAGTTTATATGAAATCACGACTGTACCTAAAGTAGAGAAGAAAATCATGAAGAAAGCCGATAATTCCACAGCTCTTCTGCTCCCAACGCGAGTCAAACCCAAAAGGCCAACATTTTCACTGTTCAAGCTACAAAAATAAGTGCCACATACTTTTAAATAAAGCTTATTTAGCATCATATTTTCTAGATAAGATATGTAAGTACATAGATGTTGCAGAGCCATTAGCAGTTCCAAACATCCCACCCAGCAATATACCTACACCCTGGAAAGCAAAAAAATTCTAATTAAAACTAATATAACATAATAATAAGGCATTTTTCAAGTAATAAATCATCTATATTATCAGAATTCTTTTGCTACCTGCCATCCAACACCCCGACTGAAAACAGAAGGTGGCACAAAAGTTGAACTTGATAACCTTGATGCAGCAACCATGGCGCCTGTTGACTGAAAATCCAGACAAGTGTAGATTAGCAGACAAGTGAAATTATCTATGAAGGATAGAAAAAAAAAAAAAACTCAAAACATATTTTTCGAGATTCGTGCCTGATCAAGCTAATTTTGTGATGATGTATCAATATTAAAAAAGAAAATCTACATAACCTTCATCAGTATTATCTGCAATTTTAGATTTTAGCCAGTGAGGAAACAAGGATTAGCATTTCTCATGTTCAACATTCCTTCCAAACTTTGTCAAACCGGTTTACGACTGTCATCATCTTTCAAATGCTAATATTATGAGCAGTTCAGAGCTCATCAGGAATGCTTTTCTCTCATCATATTTATATTTCTCTTTTGACATGAGCGTTTCATTTAGCAAGTTACAATTAGATATTTTAAAGCTGAATCAGCCCATTCTTCTTGAATTTTGTTGAAGTATAAGGCATGAAATGTGACAATACTTCTTAGTAGTATCCGATTGAAATGGAACACAAATCTAATGATTTTTACTTTTGATAAATACATTGTAATCACAAATTCCACATAGTTCAAGAAGATAGGGTCGATTAGGCTAAAATTCATACGGAAGAGTCAGGGTAGACTAAAAGGCGACCCCGTTGTACAAATTGTCATACAAAACTATACGCCCCAACAAAACTAAGCTTAGGTTGCGATCTTAGAATCAACTGTATCCTCTAAAATGCCCTTCATGTTAGAAGCAATTTATTTAGCTTGCCAAATGTCAATTAAATACAATAACATTTTCCTGGTAAACAAAGCATACACCCATCATCAAAGGTAGGGAACTTATGTTGCTAGGATTTCTTCTCAAGGTAACAGGCTTGGATATCGTGTTATATAATAGAAAAGCCATTGCCTAAAAGCTTAAGATTATGCGCTTAGGGATAGATATAAAAACAAATACTAATTTCTAAAGTTTCACAACTATCCTAGGAATCTTTATGCTCATGGAAGTTCAGTTTTGCCCCTGTAATTAAGCTGATCTTAAGGTTTTGTGTAGACCTAAAGCTCGCAACTTACTCCTACAAATGGTACTTATATAACTAGAAGCAGTTTATATACAAGTAGTAAAAGTACATTCAATAATTCCAAAGAACTCGGGGCTTTTGATTAAGAAATGTAAAAAGATAAGTCATTTAGTTGAGCTGCCTCCTGGAATATCATAAAAAAATAGAGATATTATGCTATGTCTTTTTAAATTACATACTAGAAAATCACAATAAGTAATCTCATAAAGACGAAGACAATTCAGTCGAAGTAAGAACGCATGCCTCAACACAAGATGCAAATGAAGCTGCCATCATGGCAAACGCATCCCCAACATTAAAGGTTGGAGCTCCCCATTGAAATGGATATGGAATTCTTATCCTGCATACACATGGATGAAAAATATCAATTACAAACAGGGTGGGGTGACACTGTGTAAAATATCAATAGAGATGTAGCTAAATAACTTCCCTTCCCCCAATTTGTATATATCTATCATTTAAACTTATGTAAGTGATAGTTGGAATAGCTGATAACTGAACTTAAAACCTATAGCTATGGTGCATAAAATCTGTCCAAGTTCAATCGCAGGTTATTGATTTTGATTAGTTTGGTTTCAGAAAAAATACTAATCCACAGGAATTTTATCTAGAATTTTTACACTTCAGGCATATACAAGCAAATAGTTGAAGATAAGCAAGCGTGAATGTGACAGAAAAATATGAGTGAACAGTTAAAATTCATCCCAAATTGCGCTGCTGTACCATGGGGAGGCTCCTATAAGTCCAGCACGATCGGTTCGACAACTGAATTGAGTTGTTGGAGAGCTATGCTTGTATGCACCAGAAACAGTAAGAATATGTGCAGATAACCATATGATCGAAACCGTAAAAATAACCGAAAAGCGATCAAAGATTAGTCTCCTTTGACTGATGGCAGGTGGAACATACTGCAAAAGTCAATCACCATAAAAGTAACAAACATTAGGTATTGTATGATGCAAACATCAAAGGAGAAGTTTGCATTGCAGTAGCCATAAAACAGATTTACCTGTGAAAGCACTACAAATAATAAAAGAGCAGGAAGCCCAATCTCAACACATTTTGCTGCCTATTAAAATATAAACAAGAAAAAATAGAGAAGACAGCCATAAACCAGCATATATAATTGATGATAGAAAATAGAGCACTCACAATAGGAAAGCCAAAGTTAAAAAGTCCAAGCCCTGCAAAGGTCACGATGGGTACAGCAGCAAGAGGGCTAAGAAACCTATCCACGATAAAAAATAACAGAAAAAACTGAATATTAGAGTGAAAAAATTACATCTACACAAACCATGCACATATAAATCATCACTTTCACCATCATCATTAGCCTTTTCCCAACTACATGTGGTTGGTTAACCTAATCAACTCTCACCTATTACTCACCATAATTTGGCCAAGTGATAATACATTGCACCTTGAGGCATACTTCAGAGTGAAAGCACATGCAAATCATCTTCAGGTTATTGGCCTCATATGGGATAAAAAGGGTGTACACTTCAAACTACTGAGGTGTGCCTCATTGCATGCCTTGAAGCTTTTTTTTAAAGCGTGCAATGCTGATTTATTTTATGGAGGAAGACACAAGAATATCAGAAAACGTTATAAATGACAACAAGTCAATATAGCCATTTAAAAATAATATTCTTATTAAATACTATTGATTAGGTGAGAGGAATGTTATTGAGATTGAAAATGATGAGGAATATTGAGATGATGTTGATATAAGTAAGGAAAAGGGAGGTGAGAAGGCAATCAATTCAACTATGATGATGATTTAATGAAGACGCTCTAAGTAATGGGAGTGAAAGTGACTTTTGAATTTAGAGTCTCAAGTTATAACTAATTTATTTAGGAAATATTTACTAGCATAATTTAGACTTATTTTATATAATTTTTACTTGTTCATTTTAGACATTTTAGTTATATGTGCTCAATTTTAAACCATTATTATGGCATGTCAATTACTAGTGATGTCCTAGCAAATCATTACTTCTACCTATTATCTTGTTCAGTTTGCGGAGGTTGCGGTACATCGTCTCTTGAGAATATCCTAGCACTATCTAATATCAATTTTGAATTCATTCCAACAATTTCGGCCTACATAGGCTGTCAACTAAGCTCACCTAGTGGCGTAAACATGTCGCGCCGAGGTAGAGTCACTATTGGCTTCAGCATGAGCTTGATTCTACAAGTTCAAGTCGGTACTTATTCATTGTGAAAGATAGAAGATGATCCTAATAAAAGCAATTGTTAAAATAAAATGGTAAAGAGAATGAGAAATTAAAAGAGAAATAATGGAAAATCACTTAATACAAGGAAATGATATATTTTTAAATATTTTAACAACTTTGTACTTAAACTCCTGAATGCTAATATATTTTAAGTGTGTTTTACATTTATATTTTCAAACAAGCTAGCTCACATGCTAATAGGTTGAATCGGAGTTGGCTCAAATTTGACTTATTAGCTCATCAAGCTTGGATCCTGAGCTGGTTCACAACATGGCTTGACTCACTTACACCCCTGGCCCTCACCCCTCAACCTAACAATCAAGTAAATTAAAAATTCCTTTAATTTGGACATAATAACTTTAAATTAAGCAAGTACTGAATAATAATATTGCCTTGCCTTTTCAAACCACCCAATTCTTAAAATTTCATAATCAAATTATGCAAGAAAGATTAATTGATTGAGGGCAGCCGACCTCATGCATCAGCCACACCTCTAAATAAAAAATTGTTTAAAAGATATAGGAGCTAAAGCCCAACTAATATTAGTGGAATTTGAACATCAAGCATTGTAAACTTGATGCCTTCAACAAACTAGTCACAAACACACAAATAAGAACAAAATTGAAGAAAGAAAATACCTTATTGATATCCTCCATACGCCACAAAACCCAGCAATTATCTGAAAACTAGAAGCAGCTATAAGAGCACCCTGTATCGCCCTCATTGTATGCACGAACCTCTGGTTCCATTAAGCCCACAAATTCAAAGCAAATGAATCATAAAAAATCAAAATACAGGGCTGTTTGGTTCAACGTTATTAAATTTTTTTTGTATCATCTGTCAAACACAGAAGCAAGATTATTTTGATGGTGTGATATTAGCCAATATCTAATATCAGTTAAAATATTCACGAGCGATAAAAAAGTTGATATCTTTAAATAACATAATATTTCAGAGATCACTGAACCAAACTGCCCCAAATATTAACAAATAGGAAAAAAACAGAAAGCAAGCAAATGAACATATAGAGATTAACACCTCATACGGGTCTACAATATCGGCGAAGCGCTCACTGAGGATAATGGAGGCCGTTGGAAGGATGTAAGTGAAGGATCCCCCAATCACGACGGGAAGCCGAGTTCCCAGCCATGATTGCAGCAGAGTATTGATCCCAGCTACGAATAGAATCGTCTGGATCACTCTCGCTTTCTCCTCCTATAAAACATGGTTTTATCCCAAAAAGAAGATAAATTAGATCAAGATGGTGTTTTGGCTAGCAACTCACCAACATTTCCTCAAAAGAACATAGATAGAAAATGTGTGCGTTAGAGAGAGAAAAAGAGAGCACTCACATGGCCACCACCCATTTGTTGAACAAGAATAGTAGGTATGAGGACGGTTGTTCCAAGCATTACGAGGTAATTCTGGAACCCTAAAAGCACAGCTTCCGCTGCGGCAACATTGATCAGAAACAGAGTGAGAAAGAGAGAGAAAGGATAAATACACTGAGAAATAATGTATCTAAAACACACGCCAAGGAGGAGGGCTCGTTAGACAATAAGCGATGCCCGGAAGCTGCTCCTTCACCGGAAATGGAGCAAGTTCGTCGACCTTCGCCGCCACCTCAGCCATTTCCTCAAACTCTGTCTTAGAGAGAGAAAGACTGACCTTCAGTGGAACTAAGAAGACCGAGGGGTACGTTTGTAAATATAAGACGAAAAAAAAGGTGAGAAGGAAGGAAACGCTCGCGAGCGCGCAAGTAACGGAGATAGATACAGAGACGTTAATTTGCGACCCCGAAATAGACCCTTGCAATTACATATCCCCTCTCGCCATTCGTTTGATGGGTGTTTCGTGGGTTATTCCCAGAAGCTCACAGCGACCAGCTCTAAATGGATTATTATGGAAACAATATTTTTGGCTCAGGTAAGTTATTTTAAAAAAATAATAATAATTTTAAAATTAGTAAGTATTCATTAGATGAACGCTTTGCTTTTGTCTTTATCTGAGGCCCTTCCTTCCGTTGGACTGTACTGAATTTTTAGAAAGGACTTCTTTAATTTACTGTTTTTTTTAAAATACATTTTATTTAAATTTTAATATTAAAAAATTTTTGTAAGTAATTATTATAGAGAAAATGTTCTATTTGATTTTTTTTTTTAGATCAAAATAATTCTCAACTATATAAAATTATCAATTTGATCATTGACTCTTCAAATATGGATCAAATTAGTCATTTTGTGTGATCATTTAAGTTTATATTCAAGTTATCAGAAGATTAAGGTTTTGTTTGGGATAACTTTCTTACTACATCTTAAAGCAGCTTTTCCGTACGAAATTTTGTGAATCATTTGGGATTACTTTAAGAAGCTGTAAGAAAGCCGCCACAAACGAAATCTAAAATGAGACTTTTATATAGTTGATAATCATTTTGATTTTTATTTCATTTATGTTGCTCAACTTAGACTTCATTTGGGACTACTTTTTTAGGGCATCTCCAACGGAGAACTCCATTTTTCACGCCAAAATACCACAAAATGAAAAAAATGGGGTGGTGCTGCTCCAATCGAACGCCATTTTTTTGCTTATGCGTGAAGGTAACGATCCTTCTCCTTTGGCACGTTTTTCCGGTTGAGAGAGGAAAATAGCGTGGGTGAACAGTTGCACTGTTCACCCGCAAGCAAATGGCGGACGTTTTAGCGTTCGGCTGGAGCGACCGAACGACGCCAAATACTCGTTTGGCGTTCGGTTGGAGATGGTCTTACTACTTTGTTTTCCATATTGTAATCATAATTTTTGTTTAGCCGCTACTATTTTACTACTTCAAATATTTTTTAATGGTAGAATGTTGCTTTTTATAACATTTTTAAATAAAAAAAAATTTTCGCAACTTTATAATCACTTTTATAAAAAGCTATAACCATCCTAAACGTAGTCTTAATTTATTTATTATGAGCTTAAACTTTTAATTAAAAAGTGGTGAATTTGAGATCTATATGTATGAATTTTTGATATACAGTATATACAAAATCTTAAATTTAAGACCTTTTAATTAAAAAGCTAAGATAAGCTGCATAAATTCTTATATAAGAAATTATTATATGCTTATAATATTTTCTATAATAAATTTTCAATAAAATATACTATAAAACAATAGTATTATTAATAATAAGAATTTAATGATCCTATCTTAATATATATTTGTATAATAAAGTATTTATGTAGCCTATCTTAATATAATATATATCTAAGATCTCCAATTTAAGACCTTTTAATTGAAAGTTAAGCTCACAATCAGTATATTAAAAAGGGGCATAAATTTTTGTATAAATAATTATATTCATAATAATTGCATATAAAATTTTTCTATATTAAAATTTTAAATAAATGCATACTAAAAAAAAAACAGTAAATTAAAGGAGTCCTTACCAAAATTTTAGTACAGTCAAATGAAAAAGAAATGGCCAATCCATAATGAATAGTTACTAATTTTAAGAGAATATTTCTTTTAAAATATATTACTGACCCAAATATATTGTTTCCATAATATCATGCATGTGAAGAGGGCTTATTCTTTTGCCTATAGCATTTTTTAAAATAATATAATTAATTTAAAAGTATTATAAGAAAATTAAGAACTTGATCTAATAGATATAAATTTTAAAAAATAGAAAAACTAAGAAATAATAAATTTATTTTTATTTAATAAAGCAATATGAGCAATAAAAGTTTGTATAAATAGCTAACAGAAATTTTGTATATAAATGCATCATTTATAAGAATTTAAAATTTTGATATTAATTATATACTTTTTTAGCAAGTCATTATCAAATTTATTATTGATATTTATATTATATTTAAGTGGCTCCAATTACTTCTTTGTCATCCAAAATATCTGAAATTATTTAATATATAAATATTTTATGTAAGAAAATATAAATGCTAAAAAGGTGTATGTTAATTAATTCATTCAAAACATATATTTATTTAATTTATTTATTGCTATTTAATTAGTGATGCCACTTATATGATTTATATTCCTAGCCTTCTGTTATTTTGTAGCTAGCTTCCTATTTATTTCTCTATAGTGATTGAACCGGGTGCGCAAATGGTATAGTTAACAAGATCTTAAGGAGAGATAAAGAGAATGGTCATGAGGGATCAAGAGTGGAGCAATTATTACGTCCGGTCACCGAATGCGTTCATAGACCAATAACCACGTGCCACGTCACCTGAAACTCAGTATTGAGAACTCGGTATTGCTCGGTATACATTCAGATACGTTCGATTTTGACCGGTCGTAATAATTGCTCCCAAGAGTTAGGCAAGAGTTTTAACAAGAGGGGAAGAAGTAATTGTTAGAATTTTTTATAGATGACTTAGTGATTAGAAATTTTATTGGAGTTGGGTTTGTGTTGGTTAATGGAATAATGTTCATGTTTTGTTTATTTAAAACTATGGTTATTTAAAATTATGGTTATTTGAGATGGTTTGAGTTCAACTTATTTAGCTAATCAAATAACCTTATCGAGCTAATTAATAAGCAATACTATTGAGCAACTTGTTAGTTAATTGAACAAGCTACCTTATTGAACATATTAATGAATAAACAATTTAGATTAAAAATGATTATTTGTTTGCATGAATTAATAAACAAATAATTATTTCAATGAGAAGACATAAAAAAACCCTAGCTACTACCAAAAAATCAGGCTTTCGCAGCACAAATTTTGACTTTTCCCGGTGGTTTTACCCACTACTATTATTTTTGCAGACCGCTCGATGTCCACCGTGATTTCAATGCACTGCAAAAACATTCCGCAACGGTCTCAGGACCGGCGGAGTAGAACTGAGGAATGATGAAATTCACAGCGGTTTTAACCGATGCAATTGTATTCAAAATCTGATGCAAATAAGGGGTTTCGGCAACGGTTTGTAAATCGCTGCAAAAAAACGATGCGATAGGGCATGTTTTTTTGGTAGTGATCATGAATATACGTAATCTGTTATTTTTGGAATTCTACTTGTATTCTTGGAATAAATATGTTGTGAAGTGTTAGGGTTTGTAAGCTGTTTGTACTCCTCCTCTTCTCTATAGTGAAATTGTTCTCCCTTTTCCCACGAGTTTTTTTCCCCAAATTTGGGGTTTCCATACAAATCTCTTGTATTCGTTTGTGTTTTGTAGATCGTGATTTATTATTTCTCTTTGCGTTTGGTTCATTATTTCCTAATATAATCTAACTTAGAAAAACAAGCCTTCTACATAATAGCATATGCAAATAAAGTTATAATTAAGTCATAAATGAATATAAATTATCAAGTTTAATTAAACTTATTTGTAAGATTTAAATGATAATATTATGATCATAAATGAATATAATATATTTATTTATCAATAAAATATATATTTTTAAAAATATTTACTTTATTGATAAAATTACTATAAACGAGCCCTTACTCAAAACTATCACACTCCTAAGAAAGGGAAGGTCAAAAGATGTCAGGTGAAGATGAAGCTATTCGTTTTTACAGAAACTCTTTTCATTTCAAATTATTTCTCTCTTTCACTCTTAAATTTCTTTACATTCCTCTTCTAAGAATATGTTTGGGACAGCTGTTTTACTGCTTTATTTTTTGAACAACATATACAATTTTATTCGGCCTATATTTTTCGTTGCTTTCAAAACAATTTATACTAAAAAACTATTTTTTACAACAAATTTTAAAAAATAAATTTCCTCCCAACAATTTTATAATCGCCTTTACAAAAAGCTACAGCCGTCGCAAACAGATCTCAAAACTCGTCCTCATATTAATTGTCGTGCTTATTTTGTTACATCGAAAAAAAATTCTTTCAAATGTTTCATGGTAGGGTGTAAGTGAGTCTAATTGAGCTCGAATCACCTATGATTGGAGCTTTGAGCTTGAGCTTAGTTAATAAATCTAGTTCGAGCTTGAGCTTGGGATTAATTCAAAGAATTGTTATAATAAAATGGTTAAAATAAATAGATAAATAACAATAAATCAATTGATATAAGGAAGTGAATTATAATTTGAAATATTTTCAACAACTTTATATTTAAACTCTTGAATGTTAGATATTTTAAGTACATTATTTATATCAATATTTTTTAGATGAGCCGGATAGTGAGCAACCCAGTTGAGTCGGGGCTTGCTCAAGTTCAATTTTTTGGTTCACAGAGCTTAACTCATAAGCTATTTATCGAGCTGAGCCTAAACTAGCTCAAACATCAACGTGACTCAATTACACCCAGAATACGCATTCATGAGCTACTTGAGCTGGGTGCTGCTCTTGAGCCTAAGGAAAACTCATTTCCATTTTGTCCTTTAACTTTAGATTGATGAGTGCTACCAAGTAGCACACCAGCAAAGACTGAACCTTACAAAGTTCATTTTGATATGTTGGTTGGGAGCTTTGGTTATCAGCCAAGAAGTTTTGGATTCGAATCTGACGTATGTGATGTGTGTATGAGTTTAAAAGACTTGTTCCTCATCACCATTAATGTTGTAATGATACTCCAAAAGTACATCCTTCACATCCTCCTTTGTCAATCTTTGATGTCAAAGTAGCAGCTCTAATCTTCGAGAAATATTATGTGCGGAGTCCAGACAGAAAGTTTCTGTCCAGACGGTGA